AATAAAAAGTTAAAGAAAATGTAATGATGGAAATAAATATGCAAAATTGAAGTATCATTATGTGTCCTGGGCTAATTTTAATTTCTTTTAACTAAAAGCCATGGTCATAATGAATGGTAAGAGTTTGCTTTCCTCCGTTTGGTAATTGTTCATCTAGACAGAAAGACATTGTTATATAGTGAGGATGGAAGTGCATGTTGGCAATTTCAGGTTCTGAGAGGCACTTTTCATCCATTATTGCATTCAAGACCCCACAACAGCCTTGTGAAGGTATTGTTAAACCCAATTTCATTGCTGAGGAACTGAAGTTAATCGACATTATTAAATTGGTCATATTATAACCATATGATCCAGGAACCCCAAACTGTTAAGGAGCATATTCTGAAAGGGTCCGGCCATCTGTGTGTGCACAATGGCAATGAAAGCAGACTCTTAGTATGAGAGATCTTTAATTAATATGCAGAGAGAGAGAGAGAGAGAGAGAAGAAAGGATTTCAAATAACAGACTCCTAATCATACTCCAAAAATTACCCATTCCCTCATGGAAAACACCCAGTCAAACTGTCCCATCCCAAACCAGGACTGCTGAGGCCTGAAATTTGTTTGAAGTATAAGTCACCTTTTGGTAAGAAACCACAAGAAAGTGGTTAGGCAGGTCCCCATAAGCTGGAACAAGAAGAGAGAGCTGAAATTCAAATTGTACCATATAAACCACCACAAAGTCAATGTAATGGCGGCCATGGCTTCCATGAAACACTGAAGTCTCAGAAGCAGCCTTTCCACGTGTCTCTCATACATGTCTCTCTTCCAAGTGTCTCTCTCTAATGTCTCCCCTTCCATTTCATTCCATCTCAATATATATCAACCACACTCCTTCCCAGCTGCCCCCCATTCAGCATGGCATGCTGGGATTTGCCATGTTATAGTCGAAGGTGGCTACATGTAAGTGGAGACCAAGAAAATGGCATCTATTCCAGGGGCCACTTTGCTGTGACACTCCATTCACCCTTATTAGGATGCATTCTGTAACAATGATAAATAACATGAATGTCAAAGCTGAGATAGATACATCCCATATAAATTTACTGCATGAAGCTAAGAAACAAATTGAAAACATACTTTTTGTAAAATCAGGAAATTATGTTTCTGGAGCATTACAGTCTAAAAAGGATGGTGGTTGTACAATCTGCAGTTGTATTTTTTTGCATTGAAGCAGTGACTAAGGAGGAGGTGGAGTTTACTTTTTTTTTAAAGATTTATTTATTTATACAAGCACTGGGTACAATCAGAAGCATGGGAGGGTGAGAGAATTCATCAGAGCCAGAGTGGGAAACAGAACAGGCAGACTGATGAAGAAATACACTGCTGAGGGGAGCAGAGGGTGCGGCAGGAGAGGTCTGTCATGCTATGTGGGACCCTCGCTGCCAGCCAGGGATCGAACTGGCCTGCAGAGGCTGCGGGCAGCTTCGCAGCCCAGCACTCAACCACTGCGCCACCAGGGGAGGCCCAGGAGATGGGGTTTAAGAGGATTAAATTCAAGCTATACTTTGGTGGGAGAGTGAACAGGGGATGAGGCCTAATGAGTAGCAGGAGGAAGGGGGAAGCATGGACACTTCTCAGGAACTTAGATAAATGAATATAGTGATGTCATTCAACAAAGTTTGGATGTAAGAGCTGGGGGAATTTACAAGTTTAGGTTTATGGGGATGGTATTTGAGGTGCTCTGTGTATGTAGATGTGGTGTGTATGTGTATGTGAGAATGTATGTGTGTGTGTGTGTGGCATTTGGATGGGGTGCATGTTTATGTGTATATGTGTGGGTAGTTGTGTAGCATGTGTGCATGGGGTGAGTATGGTGGGTTGGTGTGTATGTAGGTTGGTGGGTTGGTGTGTATGTGTAGCATGTGTGTATATAGGGTGTGTGTATGTGTGGAATGCATGTGGAGGGGTGAATGAGTGTGTGTGAGTGAATGAGTGTGCAGGAATTGTGGATATGTGTATGGGGGTGAGTATGCAGGGGATGCATGTTTATGTGTGTGGGATCGAGAGTGCATGTGTACGTGTGCCGGTCCTGCCTGCAGGCCGACGGGGTTCAGGAACACGGCGGAGGGGCTGGGGATGAAAAGACGCGTGCACTCACATGGATGGCTGCTGGAACTCTCTTTATTTTTAGGGGAGGGGCTATCTCTCGGAAAACCTGCGCATGCGCTTTACGTGGATTTGCAACATCCAGTTACTGTTGCATCAGCCTCCGCTTAGGGCGGAAGTGACTCATCTTTGGGCGGAAGCAACCACCACCCCAGGTCCCCCTGCTGGTGTAAGCCTGGTACTGACATACGTGTTTGGGGACGAGTATTTATGTGCATGGGGGTGAGATTGTAGAATGTGTATGCGTATGCATGGGGAGTAAAACAGCCTAGTTACAAAAAGCTACAGGCCCCTATCAAGTTGCTCCAATCCTGTTTAACAGGTGGACTACATCCTGGGCTGGTGAGCCCTGTCCAAGCCAATTCAGCCCTGAACAGGAGGCACCTTGAGAAGACAAAGGGTTAGATCCTGACTTATGATTATCTCACAGCCTCCTGGAGAGAGAAATTGGAGAGCCCACATGTGCAATTGGCACATAAGCGACCTGAGCATGCCTGGGCATCCCAGTCCAAAATAAGCCAAGACGCTGCTCTCCTTCTACTCACTGCACTTACCCTTTAAATATCTCCTTCTGACTCCCTTCGGAGACCCAGGCTGTCTTCTCCTTGCCCAAGTTGGCTCCCTGGTGCATGAGACTCTCTAACAAAGCCTTGCCTGGTTTAAATACAACTAGAGCTCTCTGGTAAATTCTTTCTCTAGAGGGCAAAGGATCCAATGTTTGGGGTTGAGGCCATAAAAGGGTGAGTGTGGGGGAGTACGTGCATGTGTGAGAGGGGGGTGAGAAGGGTCTGTGTAGGAGCATGTTCAAACGTAGATGGCATATTAGCCATCGTATAGAGTCATCCAGATTCCAGGGTCAAACTTGGATTATTGAGTCTAGGACAGGACAACATACAAGAGCAAGAATACAACAGGTGGGAGGACAGACTCACTAGAATGTCTGAACCTAGCACATAAAGCCAGGAAAGGAGGATTCCCAAGTCTGCAGAGAGAGATTTTCCTAGAGAAGACATAAAGAAGTATGCTTGCGGAAAACCAAGAAGGAGAATATTTTAAAATGACTGTCATCAGCATTCTCAATGCCATGCAGAAATATGGAAAGAACTGACAAATATGTTCCTGAAATTTTGCAGTTAAAGAAAACTCACGAGGGCCTCCCTGGTGGCGCAAGGGGTTAAGTGTCAGCACTATGAAGCTATGGGCAGCTACTGCAGCATAAGTTTGATCCCCAGTCAGGGAGCTACCCACATGGCATGCAGACCTCTCCTGTCTCCCTGCTGCCCCCTCAGCAGTGTATTTCAGTCAATCCTCTTGTTCTGCTCCCTACTGTCTATGGTGAATCCTCTTGTAACAGGGGGAGCCCAGGAAAAGGGGAAGTTCCAGGTTCCCTGCCCCACCCAAAGGAGAGCTAGAAGACCTGGAGGAGGCACGTGGAACAGAGAGATATATGAAGAAACTACACTGGCATTTTGGTCCTGGACTGGGTGACACAGATGTGGGTGAGAGACCCGTAGAGAGGTTAACAATGGCAGCTTTTATCTTGGTTTTGATTTTACTCTTTTCCTCCCAAACTTGTCTGGCTGTTTCTGACCTTATTCTATGGGTCTCCACCAGAAGGTGCTTTAGATTTGTGGCAGGCTTTCAGGATCCCAGAGCAAGGTGGACTTTTACCCATGAAGGGATGGGTAACTTTGGGTGCTTGATTTAGAAACTGTATTTGTTACAGGGCAGGGAGAGGGGCAGCCCAGACTCTGCAAACCTGCCTGCTCTAAATAGGTTCTGCCATCTGCCGCATCAACACAAAACATATGAGTCTTTAATGGGAAGGAACTTTAATACAACTAGGAAACAATACAGGAAAGGCAAAGAATCTAGTTTCTAAATCAAGCACCCAAAGTTACCCGTCCCCTCATGGGTAAAAGTCCACCCAATGAGGATTGGCCCAGAGCAAGGCCCCAAAGCTTCCCCAGGTCTAAAGCACCTTCCAGTGGGGACCCACAGGAAAGGGTCAGAAACACCCAGACAAGTTGGGCAGGAAAAGAGCAAAATCAAAATCAAGACAAAAGCCGCCATTGTCACCTCCCCACGGGTCTCACCCACATCTGTGTCACCCCGTCCACGACCAAAAGGCAAGTGCAGTTTCTGCAAGTGTCTCTCAGCTCCATGTGCCTCTCCCAGGTCTCCTTCTGGCTCCATCCTGCTTCTTTCTTTCCTCAGTCTCCTCTGCAGCTTCTTTTCTCCCTGCTCAGCTCCACCCTCCTGTGGGTGGGGCAGGAAACCTGGAACCTCCCCCTTTCCTGGGGACCACCGTTTTACAATACCCCTTTTAATTTTTATTCCACCATATCTATGGTGGCACAGATCTCAGGGTGTAGTCTTAGGAGAGACTTTTTTTCAGGGTTACAATGTATGTAAGAGAAGCAACAATTAGTCAGAAGCATTGTCCATGAAGGTCCAGTACGACACTTTTCCATTACTGGAAAATAGTCCATTATCTGAGCCAAAAGGGAAAAAAAAAAAAAAAAAAAAAAAAAACCAAAAAACAATCTGGAGCATTAGACAAAATAAGACAGCAAATACACCAAAATTACAGGAAAAAAAATCTTAAAATTGGTTCAACTTTTGTAAAAAAACAAGTTCTCTCAAACTTGATTCCCAATTTTTTTACCAGCATAGCAAAAGTTTGCAAACTAAATCTACTTTTAAACCATATTACCTATTTTTGCATAAAATCACAGGGCAGAATAACTAAACAGCAATTTTAGCTGGCTTTGTTGGAATACTCCATATAGGATCAGTGCGAACTGCTAACATCTGGTTCACGTAGGCTTCAAGAACAAAGTTGGTCTCACCAGACTCCACCTGGGCTTCCTCTTCTCGAGGGTACCAGGATACCAGGACTTTTTCGTTTGCCAGGTTGTCCAGTCCTGCCCATGGAGGCAGCTTCCTTGCCTTCTTTGGAGATCTCTGGAACCCTACGAACAAAGCAACAGGTTCTCCTCTTTGGTTCAGCTCTGTTTCAACTTCCTGGAAGAACTCCACTCAAAGCCACACAATGAAACTCATGTCCAATTTTTTAGTTTAAGCAGGCAAAATCCCTATGGAAGTTATGCAAAAACAGACTCTGAGATAAGTAGTTAAAAAAAATTACTACCACTATTTTTATGCTGTGTTGGTATCAAGGGGAGAGAAAATGTGAACACGAGTTAGCTCTGCAGAAAAAAGAAAAAAAAAAAGAATTCAGGGCCTCCCTGGTGGTGCAGGTGGTTGAGTGCAGCACTGTGAAGCTGTCTGTAGCCTCTGCAGAGCGGGTTCAATCCCGACCAGCCAGTGAGAATCCCACATGGCGCAGCAGACCTCTCCTGTCTCGCCTGCTGCTCCCCTCATCAGTGTTACCCGTTTTCCCAAGTGACAAAACTTTCCTTCTGGGTGGTAATAGTTAACGGAAAAAGGCTACTGAAAATCAAGGCCGGAAAAAAACTGAAAGAACTCAAGCTAGGGATAAAACTGCTTAAGCTCATGTTGAAACACACCCACAAGAGATAGCTGTACGTAAGGACAAAGCAAACTTCAAAAACCGAGATAAAGGTTTTTTGGTTTTTTACCCATCAAAAGTTCCATCAATAAGAATCCGTTGAGGCCCTCCTCCCTATTTTTTAGAAACAATTGCAATAAGTATACAATATGACAAGGCGCCAATCACCACTGACTCTTGTGCCCAAGATCGCTGATCGTGCTCCCCAAGATCGCTGATCGTGCTCCCCAATGAACCACAGCAGCCGATGCAAAGGCAAAAGGGAGTTCAGGACAAGCACCGACGCAGCAGCCAACGTCAAGAGCCCCAAACTGGGGAAACGGGAAGATATTTATAGGGTTACAGCAGGCTTAAATTTTAAAACAAGCTGGCAATTACTCATTGGCTACTAAAAGGCATATTTGGCATGCAGGGCAACTCAGAATTCAAAGGGATGGGTTGGGGATGCCACAGTTTCCCTAATTGGTTGCTTCCTTATCTGCGGACACCAGAAAGGTCTGAGACCTTTGATATTGGGTGCCCGGCTAGCTCAGCATGACACACATTTTAGGAGTGCTGCATCATTTTCCTGGAAAGTGAAATTGAGCCCAAAATGACAGCCTTTCACAAAATGGCGAGACAATAGCTAAGCTTGGCTCCACACTGACAATTTACAGACATATCAGGTACTCAGAGGTTTTATACACGTTTTAGAAAACCAATGTTAACACTTCTGTATATGTCAAAGTTTTACCATTTTCCCAAGTGACAACGTTTCCCTTCTAGTTTACTCTGCTAGGTAAGTCAAATAGGACAAATTCATCGAATGTCTTTCCCAGGAGAAAAGGGATTAAATTTGTGGAGTGTCTCAGGAGCTCTGAGGTTCCACAAAATGTCCTTAGAGCAACCAAATGACAGACTACCGAATGTTTACTTGAATTTAGATTTCCGGGAAGCTTTGCCATAAACATCAGAAAACAACAGCAACAACAATATTCAATCCCTATGAAGGCACCAGCTTAGTTCGGTAGTACAATGTTGACAATCAAACCATAACCTTTAATTTATCATTTTTTCAATGTCTATAGGCACCACGTATACCATTTTGTCAACCTCTAGAGGCCAAGACAGACAGACACAAGGACATACAGACATTCAACATACAAAGACAGTTTTTTTAGTTATGCCAAGTGGAATATCTTAGGTAACTGCAGTTTTACTCAATAGGCTCAGAAAAAAAAAAAATCTCTTTATTGGAAGCCAATCCTGGGGTATCCTGTACAGCAGCTGAAAGAGCAAAATCAACAGTTAACTTTTAAGCAAAAGGAGTCATCTCTTGTTAGCTACCAAGCAGGTAATCCTTGGGTTTCCTGGAACAGAACCTGAAAAAGAAAATCAAAATACCAGCAATTAACTTTCAATTAAAAGGAGTCATCTCCTTACTTCTGTTAGCCACTCTGAGACAGAAGCTGAAAGAGCAGATTCAACATCAAAGCACAGATTACACCTCCCCCACACTAGGGAGGGACAGCAACACAGGTCTGAAAACCTGGTAGTTACATGATGTTTTCCACAACAGACCTTCCTCAGCAGGAAGTAGAAACTTAAAATCTTGTCTTACACCAGCAATTAAATCCAGAATTCAAATGGCAAACATGCCCAAAACAAATTGTGTAGACAAAGTTCACAGCAGCAAATCCTTTCAGACTCAGACAAAATCTTTTTAATTTTTCTGATCCAGACTTTGTAAAAATTCAAGTTATCTCCAAGAATCCATGAAGGCTTCTAGCAATTACCAGTAACTGCTTAAGGCTACTGTTTGTTAACACCTAGACAAACATTTGCTAATTTAAACACCACTGCTCCACAGCTGGCTTGCAAAACCCCTCAGGCAGAGGTCAGGAAGTAGTCCAAGACAAAGCTGAAGAATCATTACTGCCTTTAGAAATGTTAATGAGACAGCAGAGATCAGGAAAAGAAAAAAGGTCCAAAGTCCTAGCAACAAGAACCTCTGAGTTTTACAAAAGCCTGTCAAGTGGCCTCAGATGCCATCTTTGATCTGGCCACATAGTCCAACGAACTGCCTAATCTTTTGAGTAAAACTGCTGCACAGAACAATTACCGCAAAATCAAGTCACTACAAACAAATTACAGAATGCACAGAATCTTCACAAAGCCCAACGCAGTTTTTCAACAGCAAATCTACATATGAAACAAACACAGTAGAGAAACCAAAAATCACATTTGCGCTTATGGTAGCCAGTGCCATAGTGAAGCCCATTTTCCCCATGGGGCTGACTAACCACGGATTGCTCTGTCCCAAATCATGTTGGGTGCCAAATCTGTTACAGGACAGGGAGAGGGGTACCCGACACCCCGCAAACCTGCCTGCTCTAAATGGGTTCTGCCATCCACCACATCAACACAAAACATATGAGACTTTAATGGGAAGGAAATTTAATGCAATTAAGAAACAATACAGGAAAGGCAAAGAATCTAGTTTCTAAATCAAGCACCCAAAGTTACCCGTCCCCTCATGGGTAAAAGTCCACCCAAATGGGATTGGCCCAGAGCAAGGCCCAAAAGCCTGCCACAAGTCAAAAGCACCTTCCAGTGGGGACCCACAGAAAAGGGTCAGAAACCACCAGACAAGTCAGAAAGGAAAAAAGCAAAATCAAAATCAAGACAAAAACCCCCATGGTCACCTCCCCAGGGGTCTCTCACCCACATCTGTGTCACCCAGTCCAGGACCAAAAGGCAAGCGCAGTTTCTTCACATGTCTCTCGGCTCCATGCGCATCCTCCAGGTCTCCTCCTGGCTCCATCCTGCTCCTTCCTTCTCAGTCTCCTCTGCAGCTTCTTCTCTCCCTGCTCAGCTCCACCCTCCCTTGGGTGGGGCAGGCAACCTGGAACCTCCTCCTTTCCTGGGGACCACCCTGTTACATATTCTTTGTCTTTTTTGCATGACACACTGATTGTATTGTATTCCTTTCCATTAAAGTCTCATATGATTTGTGTTGATGTGGCAGACGGCAGAACCTATTTAGAGCAGGCAGATTTGGGGGTTCTGAGGTACCCCTCTCTCTGCCCTGTAACACTCTCACCACCCCCAACCCCACACCTCTGGCCTACACCCCAGCTCTTGTATGCATAAATAAATTAAATAAATCTTTACAAATGAAATCACTGATCATAACTAGGTCATAGTCAAGAAATGTGACAGAAGACAGAGCCCAGTTCATTAAGGAGTTGAGAGTGACCATGTCTGGGGCTGGGGTAGGGGAGAAGATGAGGCAGCAGAGCAGAAGTAGCAAGCATTGGCCAAGGGAAAACAGAGATGAAACTAGAGCTGGCAGAGGAGATTCAAGGTCAAGGTTGATTTTCTTTAAAACTTTTTTCAGTATATTAAATGATGAGTCGCCTCAGGTAGGGAGGGAATGACTCAAAATAGTAGAACAAAGACTCAAAATAATGGAAAAACAGTAGATGATTAACACAGCAAGAATCCGAAAAAAGTGAGAAGTGCCACTGGTGAATGGTTTAGCAGGGGTTTTTTTTGGTTCAGCTCTGTTAGTGATCAGCCTTGTGAACTTTGCCCTACCCATCTAATTTGTGTCTCTTTTCCACATTTGTAAAACAAAGGATCGACTCTCCTGTTCTAGGAGACTCATTCAGATTCTGAATAAAGATACTATAAGTATGCAAAGGCATCACACCTTAGGAGAGGACTGTGAAGACTTTTGCTCTAATTGGTATTAATCTCCAGTCCACTTCAAATGTAGGTGACTGTTTGAATATGACATGTGGAGTGAGATTCTTTTGGGACCTTAATGGGCAGCCTGAATTAGGGAAGGATGTCACCTCCTGGATCTTCATATCCATCACTTGGAGACCTCCCCTCCCCATTTCCCAGGAGACCCATCCCGGAAATCACATACATTGAAATTTAATAGAGAATGCATTGTCTCAATAGACACCCATGTATTTAGAAAGGCTTTCATATTCTAAAGAAAATAAGCTGCACAGCAGCACATACCCCTTTCTTTTGCATGCTAGAGGGCTTGAAGACTACATCATCGCAAACAAGCAGGAGAATGCTGTCTGCAATCTTAAGCATAAGCCAAAATGGACTGAGCAACTGCATGTAATTAATGAAGAGGAGCCTAATTAGTATCGAGGGTTACAGCAGGTGATGATTTCCTCCAGCTGCCCTTGGCACCTGTTGACAACTCTGGAGTAACCCTTTGTTCCTCTGACTGTCATCTGAGAATATGCAGTCTCAGACTGCCCCATTAGGAAACAGGGAATGTGGAGGCAACCACGATGTTAGATCACCTTTAACAAGTATCCACCAGAGACAAGGGTCCAAGTCTTGCTGCAAAAATTCTAATGACTTCCCCTTTGCATATGCTTACCAGAGTGGATTCTATAGCTGGCAAGCAAAAACAATGTTCACATTTAAATAAAATTGTTCACATTTCAGTGCCTACATTTATTTTGTTGACAACCCTGTCTGTTTCCATGTCAAGGTAAGACAGGGGGTCTCTGGGATGTGCTTGCTTCTTTTCCATTGCATGTAGTCTTGGAAACAGGAAAACTAACAAAAGTACATAGAGATAGATCATAGCTTAATGACTAACTGCAAATCATTACTTAACTCTCTCTCCTCATGTAGGGTAAAGAAAAAATGTCAGGCTTTTCTGCCCTCCCGCCATCAGGATAGCTGATGGATCCCTGCGGTCCTGAATGCATGCCTGATGGCGGGCACCCGGAGTGGGGTGTGGGCATAGGTAGATGGGATTCACCTGGGCTGAGACTGGGCTTTTTAAGGGCGGCGTCACGGGGACGCCAGCAGAAGCCGAAGAGAAGCCTAGAGAGAGAAGCAAAGAAGCAGAAGCAGAAGCAGAGAATGCCAGAGAGCCCAGAGAGAGTGAGGATTTGCTGGGGGTTGGGAGGAGTGCCAGCCTTCCGGCCCCCCAGGACCCCTGCCTGCCGTGTACCTGGTAATCCCAATAAAAACCTGCAAAACCACTGAGGACTCTGACTCTTCCTTTACCAGGTCTGCATGGGATCCTAGAAAACCTGCTCAGTGGTCCTTCCTGACCTTAAACCCCAGTAATTGCTTTGTTTTAGCCATCAGTCCAAGGACTTAATGTGTGACTGTTGCTGGCCCACAGCAGCCCATGGGGACCCAGTTGGTGCATATACATGTTAAGGAGAACCCTGAATTTACACTGACCTTGTCTTCATTATTATACTAAGACCAACCGCTCCCTTGGGTGGGATTTGCCTTCCACTGTCTGGCCATGTTGTCCTCCTATGGCTGCAAATGGCTTCTCCAGAAACTCCTCCATTCCCAGCCATGAAGAATAATGTCATTGAGGCTGTGGTCCCTCAAGGAGCCACTGACCCTTGAAGCTTCCCTGGAGTGTTCTGCTGCTCTATGTCTTCAATAAATCTGAGTTTCAAAACCAACTGTGAGGTTTAGAGTCCTCATTTCAATCTTGAGAGACCTCAAGAACCCATCACTGTGGGACAGGGAACAAAGGGAGGGGTCACAGCTCACAAGACAGGGGTGATTTAATCACGAGTTTCCAAGGCCATCCTTGGAACCCTGAACTCAGCATACCCACTTTGGTGTAACTGTCAGAGTGGCAAGGATAATGCTCCTTTGTAATTCCAGAAGGGAGGACATTCACATAATGTAAGGAGCTAGTTTTAGACCTAGATAGCTGTGATCCAGTGAGAAATATAGTAACAACAGTAGAATCCTAGAACCCTGAGTATTCTGTTTCTTTTACAAGGAAGATAAACTAGCTTATGTAGGAAAAGTAATGTACTGAGCCATTCTAGTGTCAGCATGAGAGGGTAGGTTCTCTGTTGATTTGGGCAGACTGATAAAGTGTCTTGGAGCTTTTGGTGGATTTTACAGGCATTTGATGCTGAATCATGTACAGACACATCAGGCAGGGAGAGCATGTAAGGAGACAGGCATGGGCCAGGTGAGGGGGCTGGCATGCAGGCAACCAAGCCTCCCAGTGTCCCCCTATAGGGTAAGTATCAGGTATTTCCGCCCTCCTGCCATTAGATTAAATGCATGCCAGATGGCGGGCACCTGGAGTAGGGTGTGGGCATGAGTAGGTGGGTTCACCTGGGCTGAGAGTCTGGGCTTATAAGGGCAGCGTCATGAGGACACCACAGGAACGGAACCACCAGAAGGAGAACAAGAGATGGGAAGAACCAGCAGAGAAGCATGAGAGAAGGCCTGAGAGTCCAGAAAAGAGAGAAGATTTGCTGGGGGCTGGGAGACCTGCCTGCCACGTTCCTGGTGAACTCAATAAAACCCTGAAAAATCCCCTGAGGGCTCCAGGACTCCTCCTTCCCTGTCTGCTTGGATTGTAGAGAACCAGCTCTGTGCTCCTCCTGCTGCTGCACCCACGAAATTCGTTCTCTTTCTCTGGTCTCTCTCTGGTGTTCTCAGTCTCTTGGTCTCACCTCAGACTGACCCCCACCCCCACCCTGCTCCACTGCTGCCTTCATCCCTCAACTCTAGGCACAGGTGTGAGCAGTCACAGGAGCGCACCCTGTGTTCTCTGGTGCAGGTGTCTACAAGCACAGGTGCTTGCCGAGTGCCCACCTCTCGGCCCCGGACTCCACACCAGTGGCAGGAGAGCATGAAGAAGCTTGGTAACTTCATGTACCCTGTAGTCATCTCATAGGAGCGAAGAACAGGGTGGGTGGAGCCAGGGCCAGAAGTTGAGTTATGGCTCTGTAGCTCTTCTCTCGGTTACTTGCCTGATGTGGTTTTATTCCTTGGCATCACTTTCTCATTGAAGCTAGAAATCACATGCCTAATGTCACATCTTTCCTAATCCCCCAAAAAGCTTCAGTTAAAAAAAAAAGCATTATTCCGGCCTCCCCTGGTGGCGCAGCAGTTGAGCGCTGGGCTGCGAAGCTGCCTGCAACCTCTGCAGCGCCGGTTCCATTCCCGGCCGCTGGTGAGTGTCCCACATGGCGCGCAGACCTCTCCTGCTGCACCCGCTGCTCCCCTCAGCAGTGTGCTTCATCAGTCTGCCTACTTTGTTCCCTGCTCTGGCTCTGGTGAATTCTCTCACCCTCCCCCACTTCTGATTATACCCAGTGCTTGTATAAATACATAAATAAATCTTTAAAAAATTATTCAATGATTCACCTACTGATTCTTTGCAGGAATATTTTTTTTTAAGATTTATTTATTTATGCATCCAAGAACTGGGGTGTAAGCCAGAGGTGTGGGGGCTGAGAGGAGTCACCAGAGAGAGTGGGGAACAGAACAGGCAGACTGACTGAAATACACTGATGAGGGGAGCAGTGGGAGAGACAGGGAGACAGGAGAGGTCTGCTGCACCATGTGGGTAGTGCCCTGGCTGGCTGGGGATCGAACTCATGCTACAGAGGCTGGTGATAACTTGATAGTGCTGTCTTTAACCTCTGTGCCACCAGGAAGGTCCTGCCCGAATATTTCTATTAGTAGATGAGGCAGTAAAGCATGGACTTTGAGGAGAGTTTTAAACCCCCAGTCTTCAGCAACTATTAGCCTACACTGACATCCCCCCAAAAAAGGAGATGATTCACAGGAAAGAAAAGCAATGTAAATATCCACCGCATACAGTTAGGGCAGGAAGGAGATAAAGAGTAATTCTAATTGGGCTAATTGGGACATAAACCATCAGTTAGATAATGCTTGTCTTGAGCCTTGAAAGACAAGTATCTGATCACAGAGCCCATCAGGAGGAGGACATGCTCCATGTTGATCAGGTAGATGGGAGAGCACTGGCAGCCTGGCATCTTAATGAGAA